AGGCATTTCTAAAATTCTGTTTTCACTTTGTCATTATGAGGTACTGAGTTAATGAGAAAAAAAAATGAATTTGAAAGATTGTAGTATCAGGCTGCAACATAACAAAATTGAAAAAAGTGAAGGGGGTCTGAATACTTTCCGAATGCACTGTATTTATTTTATTTGTATCATAAACCTGTCTAACCTATGTGCACGTGTAAAAGGGCTGAGGTTTGTATCACAACAGAACTTCTGCCATCTTTTTTGACACTTCCCCCTGTAGCTGTGTTTGAAACAAACAGATCTTTTTAAAAGATGTTCATCAGTTACCAATCTTGACCTTGGGTATCCAGTTGTCCCAACCCATGTTTCCATACATTTGCTTCACCTAACAATAATTTTTCCCTGGATCATATTCATTAAGAATGTTCCACAATTTTCCCCCAAACTCATATATGAGTCTTCCATTCATCAACCTGTGGATACTTACCTACAACAACCCAGATGATGCTAGTTTATAATATCTAACATACTTGTTAGCCCTTTCGTTCATAATTAAGCTTAAACTTTCACTTCCCTGAACGTGTTCGTCAATTCCACTTCAGAAAATCAGACTACCTTTATTCAGATCTATTAAAAAAACCCTTTTTCAGTTAGTTTTGCAGTTTCACAATATACATATTTTTTTTATTTGTTAATTCATGTTAATTATAACAAAATGCTGTTACCTGCTTCCCTCCAACTGAGGTGTATATGCAGTATACTGACAGACACTCAGGATATTTTCATCCTTTATTATGGTGGTAGAACATAATATTATTTGTATTCTTTGTTAATTTGATTAATCTCTGTCATGTATTTTAAATGCATTATCAGATAAAAACGAATGTCTTTCTGGCATTTGCGGAGAGCATGCTTCATGCCATAACACACAAGGAGGCTATTACTGTGTTTGCCATGTAGGCTTCCAGGCTTCCAATAAACACAAAATATTTATTCCTAATGATGGCACAAAATGTATAGGTAAGTACCCCAACAATAAATCATTAATGTTTTTCTGTTTTAATTTCATTTAAAGAGAACTTGTTACAGTCAGTTTTAGTTTTCAGCTGTGGACTGTTTTCACTTCATTGTGTATACTTTAAACTTTCTGAGCATGATGCATTTGTGTCTCATTCTCTTAAAATCTCATATAATTAATTGATTATACAGTGAATGCAGTGCAAGTTAAATTTACATCTGCAATATTTAATGGTACCAGTAAAATAGATTGGTATTGTATAGTATTGTTATCGTATGGATCATCCTTATGACACAATACTTAGGTCTGCTAAAATTAGTATATTACTTGTTTATTCTTTGGATTTGTCAGAATAAACCAGTCCAAGTATGTTCATCTCTTTTCCCATTATCAGTTCATCTTCTTTCTGTTCTTAAGGTTTGTATACCACATGTGGTATTAACATCATATTTCTTATATTTACTAATTATCAGTTACTTGAACATATCAGGTTAGAGTATATTGATTTAAAACAGCAGAAAATGCTGTTTCTTAAAAAAATCAATTTAATTTTTAATTTAACTTTTCTTATACTGTATTACCAAGAAAACAGTAATTTAAACACATGGCCACGTTTCTCAAAATAACTCCCAGTCTGCCACAGATTTGAACCCTGTTGGGGAGATAACTGTTCATATGGGTAATAAGTAGAAAAATGGGAGGGAAAGCCATTCCCTTCAAAGTTGCTTTTCTCCTTAAGCAGGTGGGATTCTCTGGTTCTTCTGGTTTAGTACACTTGGGGGCATTCCAAGGATTTGATTCTGAGGAAAATGAGACTTGGGGCTTTATATTTCCTCTCAAGGAACACTTCCCTCTCCAGGTCATAGATCTGGGGAAATCAAAGGATTTGGGGGAGAAGCGTCTTGAACTTTTTCTTCCCTTTCACTTTGCTGCAGTTGTGGATTGTGGACCTCCACCTTCTATCCCAAACACTCTTTCAGTTCCTGCAGATAAAACCACTTATGGAAACCAAGTTCTTTATACTTGTCAGCCTAATTACGTCCTTGAAAGTGGAAACTCAACTGCAGTTTGCAATACCAGAGGACAATGGGAAGGTGCAGATGTGGTATGCAAAGGTAAAGAAAACATTTGAGAACTCTACTGATAAATGTAGTTATTCCAGTGAGAGTGGTCATTTGTCAGCATATTTGAAAAAAAAATGGCTTCCTTAAATTTCATAGAAATCAAAGCCAAATTCATGCAATTCCAAGATCCTCTGTATTGTGCCTGCCCAGGAAAATCATACCATGCTCCCCAAGTCCCCTAGATTTTTAAAAAAAGTTTACCTATTATTATTAGATTTTTATCCCACCTTTTTTATAAATAACTCAAGGCAGCAAACAAACTTTGTACTTCTTCCTCCTCCTGTTTTATCCATAACAACAACCCTGTGAGGTGGGTTAGGCTGAGAGAGAGAGACTGGCCCACAGTCACCCAGCCGGCTTTCAGCCCTCAGGCGGGACTAGAACTCGCAGTCTCCTGCTTTCTAAGCCAGCACCTTAACCACTACACCAAACCGGCTCTCAATTCTCAATTCTTCCTATTAATCTATAGTAGGAGTAGACATTATAAACAAAACATGCATTCACACCAGAAAGACAGCACTTTTTCAGTGGACGTTTTAAGATATTGCACTAATCTCAGCGTGTTGCTGTTGTTCAGTTGTCTGCTGCCTAGGCTAGCCTAAAAATACAATGGGAAGGAGAGATGATTTCTCAAAGCGTTCTTGTTAGAGAAGCAGAATGATTTGGTAGTTGACTTTTAGATGAGTGCTGGCCGTTAAACAGCATCTCTCCGCGATGGAACAGTAGCACAAGCTGCGGTACAGACTTTCACCTTCCCACATAGGACAGGAACCTACCCCATTGGCAGGGTTGAAATAGGGTCACTGTGCTGGCTCTGCAGGGCAGAGAAAGTATTTTATGTGATCGCTCCTTTTCCTTCTTCTCCCAGCATTGGACCCTTGAGGCGATCACCTCACTCTGCCTAATGATAGCATCAGTTCTATCTATTGTATTTATTTTTAAAAACAACTTTTACTGTGTTATTTTTAAATTAATTTTCATAAATGCCTTACAGTTTACTCTTTTGCGCTGACTTACTGATCCAGGCTTGTTTGTTTATATACTGTTTTTATATTGCACTTCAATTATATTCTCATGGTGGTTTTCACTAAGTAAAAAAATTTAATGTATATGAAAAATAGCTAAGCCTATAAAGCACAAAAGCTGCATAAAATAGTTAATAGGATTAAAACTGTATCTAGAAAGCTTAAGGGGAAAAAAGGTCTTTGCTCACCCTGAAGGGATATTAAAATGGCTGTTTTGATTTTTTTGAAAAATGGAATGCAGATGAAAAAAATAAGTAAATATGCCTACAGCATACCTTCTACAGGGATATTGTTGTTACACAACTATACTGTGGCCTTTTTGAAACTTGTTTTTACTGAAAGACCCAGGATGTTGTCAACTCCTAATCTCTGCAAAATGGCAACCTCGATTTTTGTTTTGTTAAGTGTTTTTCGGTTTACCGAGGATTAGTTCCTTTCCCAAATACATACTCCGTACGAACTTTATTACAGGATGTTAGCAAAACAGGAACTTGAAATGTAAGAAGTAATGGCAAAAAACTTTATTGTCATATGAACATGTCTTTTGATCTGATTTGTTGCTTTAGGCAAAATAGTTGTTTTATTCCATGTTTTATGTGCAGTTCAGTTAAAATTTAGATGCTACCTTTGTTTTGATAGATAATAGTTCACAATATTAACTTTTAACAATAGTTAACGGCTTATTGATCCAGTCAATATGACAAATTGTCAGGCTGTTGAGCAGCTGCTTGAACTGAAAGTGATTCTTTTCCAAACGTAATTCTTATAGAGTTCTCTTTAGCAAGACTTATTCAGACGAAAGGAATAGGGATATAAGAATTCCAGCAAGTGAACTAATTTTCAGTGTGGAACCAGTTTCTTTCAGTGTACATTAGGGCAAAGACGTTTTGCATTTCTTTCTCACGACCTTATTGTGAACTGAAGGCGTGGTGGCTCTCTTTCTCGATAACAGGGAACTCTGCAGCTGGCTGTTTACTTAATAGTCACTTGAATGCCTATCAGTCTGAGAACCAATTCTTATACAAGCTGTGGTTAAGCAAAGCAGAAGTGAATTTTCCAAATTCCTAATTATAGCTATATTAGAAGAGAGAAGAGTAATAGAACATGCAAGAGCCTATGGGTATTTCATATCATGATATCTGAATATTGCTAGTGCTAAGCTACTTCCAAAATATTTCATGTAGCTTTCTGAAACCCTTTATACTATTTTTATTGAAGTAATGGGTATAACAGCACAACTGAGCTCTTGGAGTCAAATCTCCTTTTTCAGAAATCTTCTGGGTCTTCACATCCTAGTCCTGCTTGCAGCCCTTGGTTACTAGGTAGTTCACACTGCCACTACTTCTATTCTACGGTGTGCCTATCCTGGCACCCTCCCTCTAAACCTGTTGTGTGAGAGAGCTCTCATTTTCGGTGCTGCCTTTTTTGGTAACTAAAAGGTAAAAATGGAAAAAATGAAAGAATTCCTGCAGTGTAACCTCCTATCCTTTTTGCGTGTAACTAGAGGCTTCAGCCCTTCCTTCTCCCCCAACCCCAACCCTGCCCATTTTGGAGAGTGACTAAGCTCACAAGGGATAAATAAAATCAGAGCTTATTAAAGAAAACGGATAGGATGCTGTTCATACAGCTCTTAATTTAAAAGCAGATTACAAAAATACATGTCATATTCCAGGCAGACAAGATGGTATAACGAGAGGGTTAGAAGAGACACAACTTCTAGATTATATTTCAGCTCACAAAATGATAATGGATAAAACAATCATCTTGTTCACAGCCTGAGGTAGGAATAAAAACAAAAGCTGAATTTACTTAAAATTCCCTATTTCTATAAGAAATAAGCAGAAGAGACAATAAGGGCCAATGAGCAACACACAAAGTGATAACATTTTAATGCAATTTTCTGCCTAGACTTGTTTATCTGAAGCAAAATTCTGCTTGTTTCCATGTACTTCAGTCAAAATCTCAGAAAAACTGTGCAGTTCTGTCTTTTTCCTAGTCCTGGTATCCAACTTCTTACTCCATGCTCTGCTCTGCTTCTGCCTCAAGTTTTAAAATGATCAGTGAAGCTTCCAGGTGAGATTCTGTGGCAGACTAGATGTCTCTGAAGTAGCAGAGAAGCGCAGCAAAGTGAACATCGGCCAGCAATGATTTCTGGCCAACAAAAGTTTTTACAGATAAAGAAGAGAATGAGAAATTGTCCACCTGCACCCCGGACAGCTGCTCCTTGGGAGGAGACTGCAGGATGGAAGTCTTGCAGTTTTCTTGTGAGTAGAGCAGCTGGGGGCCATGGGAGAAACATCTCACTCACGCATGCAATACACAGTCTTTTAAAGGACACTAAGTTCGACCAATCCTCACTTTCTTAATCACTTTGTGATATAATCTACAGTTGAAAAGAGATCTTTTAAAACAGCGGGATAAAGAAAACTTCTTGGTGAGTCAGCTTTCCTTCCAAATTACAGAAAGTAAAATACAGAGGAAAATAATACTTTTAAAAGACTTTAAAACAACAGCAAAGAACTTAATCAAGATGTTAACTAAGAAGGTTATAAACGGATAAAAGGGAGAATATTAATTTGAAAGATAAAGATTTTGGCAAAAGTGCTTTTGGCATTCTATGGAATTAATTAAATAAACAGATCAGACTTTCCTGGGAATATTGACTGTCTGACATCAAAGGGAAAAGATAATTGGTGCGATTTACAGGACCAGGAGATAAATGTAACAACAAGGAGGTGGACTGTGTCATTAAAACTACAGAAAGACAGAATGGACTAAACCCTTAATGGTATAAAGAAAGTGAATGAGGGGGAAAAAAAGAGAAGCCTGCTTTTTACCTTTAGCTTTGTAATTGATTTACTTCTACTTTTGGATTATTAATAAAAAAAAAAATGGTGACTACCAGAAAAGCTGCAAAGCAGCGTAAAGGAAGAAGAGGTTCGTTAGAGCAACTGACAGAAAAAGGAATCACTCCAGAAATATTACAAAAATTGTTTGAAGAGAAGGGAAAGCATCGGGATCTGTCAAATCTGTTAAAAGTGAGCTGATTGCATTTGAAGAGAGAATGGAAAAAAGGTTTGCAAAGATGAAAGAAGAGATGAAAGAAGAAGTTACAAAAAAATTTGAAGAATCTATAGGGCATCTTACAGGAGAAGTTAAATTAATGACAAAGTGGAATTTTTAGGAGTAAAACAGAAATAATAAACAGAGATGGAAAGGGACTTAGACAATCTGGTGTTACTGGAATTGAGAGAAAAATAATTCTGCTTAAGACTTAGAGCAGTTCCAGAAGATCCTGAAGAAGACACTAGAGAAAAGGTTGTGAACAATCTAACAAACTTTCTGGAATTGGATGAAGATGATATGGAGGCAGGAATTGATAATGTTTATTGAATTAATATGCAATTTGCAAAATTAAGAAATGGACCAAGGGATATTCTTGTGCCGTTTGTCAGAAAGAAGACCAGAGATCAGGTTTTGCAGCATTATTTTACTACCAGACTGAAGATTAACAATGCAGATGTGATTATACTTAAAGAAATTTCAATTAGAATACTGCACAAAGAGTATTTCTTTCTGACAGCTTGAGACTGCTGTATGTCTTTTAGGAGTACCTGTGAAGTAGACAATCATGCTTAGACTTGACACTGAATACATTATTCAGAGAATATGCCAATAGAGGAACATATATACATGTGTGGTAGATACTGTCCCTCCATTACTGGATCTACTTTACCTCGCAGTTTTTATGGACAACTGGCTTCTTCAAAAGGCCTCTGGACAATACATTAACACTCTGTTTGTCTTCCCTTAAATATACTTAAAGTTATACTGCTGTAACGCAAGGCATCTGGACCATCTGTCCTGCTCCTCCACCTTTGTAGTTGTGACAAGTCCTTTACAAATTGTCCAGGAACTCTCACTCTCCCTATATTCTGGAAACCTCTACCTTTCTACAGGAGCTCTGGGAGTGTTGGATTGGTTGTAGTAGAAGACATTCAGCAGTTCAGCCTCTCCCTTTCTAACTGATAAACATGCTGTTTATTCTGTCTTCAGTCTTTTAAATTCCGGCTTCATTTCTTCTCTCTTTCCCAATTCAATTTTTTAAGATCTCCAATTCCAATTTTTAAATGTTTTCTTCCATACGTTCTTTTAAGTTCTATCTGGGTTTGAATTTCTAAGTTCTGGAATTCAAACAGGTCAGTGGTTCCCATTGACTGCATGACAGTCTCAGTCTCACATCTTGTCCTTTGAGACGTCTCCTGCTGGCTGAACAGGCAAAGATGTCCAGCATGGAGAAGAGCTTATTCCACTGAACTCAGAAGCTAGAAATAAAAGTAACTTCTGTGTGTGCACTTCTCTTTACTATCTCTGTTAAAAAGAATTTTTAAAAAGAGAATGTATGTATTAAAAAAAAAAAGTGATACAACAGTGGCCCAAAGTCACAGTTGAGGGTTCTGATAAATGATATATTGGAAATTATATCAATTGGAATCATCTTTTTTTTTTGAAAATTGAAAATGATATATTGGAAATTATATCAGTTGGAAAGCAGCTACTGCCTTTTCTTAAATGAACACAATGAGTAAACAAACATTTATATCCATTGGTATTTGTTTATCGGTAGCATGGATAATGCTGGTGAAATACCTCCCTTTAGCATTCTCTATAACCCAGATCTTCCTGAGCAGTTTTGGGAAGCAAGAGGTGGAAAAAAGAAGTCCCACTGCACCAGCAGAGGTCTATTTATGTGTCATTAATGATGTAAATCAATGTAACATGTAGCTACTTATTAAACTATTTAATGTATGTTCAACTTTCAACACTCATCTTTTTTGTTTGTTTGTTTCCTGTTCCTTTAGAAATAGACTGTGGAAAACCACCATGGATACCAAATACAGACATTATCTGGGATAACAGCACAACTTTAGGGAGCACAATATACTATAAATGCAAAGATGGATTTCAGTCTTTTGGAGAACCTAATTTTTCACAATGTAAAATATCTCGCAAATGGGAAAACATTACTTTTGAATGCAAGGGTAAATATACTGTCTATAACTTTCATTCAAATACTCCTTATGAGTGAATAAAATCAAATATCAGCTCCAAGTCCAGGACCATACTAGATAACCTGTGACCTGTGGGTCATCATTTCAGAGATATTTCCTTACCTAAACAGAATGACCAAGGGCAAAAAAGCAGTGCGAGTGTGAGCGACTTGCAACTTGCTGCTGGCTTCCCCATTGACTTTGCTTGTGGGAAGCTGGCAGAGGGCGTCTGAAATCTTCCTTCCCTCCCTCCCTCTCCACATATAGCATAGGCTTGCACCGTTTGGCCTCTCACAACCTTCAGGAGAGCCCCTGTGAAGCTGCCACCTCCTCAGCTGACCAGTGAAACTGCCTCCCACTTTGCTGGAGGAAGGTGGAAGAAAGGGAGCTGGCAGACCATGAGGAAAACTGCACCCCCGCTCCCCATTCTGGCATGTCCACAAGGGCTCCCTCTCTTGAGGGAGGAAGAGAGCTCACCCCGTTGACCACCAGCATCCTCCAGCCAGCCCTACCTCACCAGCAGGCATCCAAGTCACTCCCTCATCCTTCCCTCCATGCCAATTGCCATTAAGAGATTTCAGATTTCTGCCTCATTTCCAAAGCAGCCAATCACCACTTGCCTGTCAGGCCTTGCTACCAGCCTGTTGGGCGCAGGGGACAGAGGAAGGTGGGACCTGGGCTGACCACAGCAGCACAGCAGTGCTGAAGCAGCCACAACTTTCCCAAATTTCAATCCCACAGGAGTAATGGGTCCTGGATTTTGGATGCATTCTGTAAGTTAGCCCGTTTGAGGTACCTTGCTTCAAAAATGGTTGCCCTATGACATACTGTTTTGCTCAGTTGCCCAGACATGAGGGTTTTAGTAGTATATAGATAGATCTTATCCCTGAACCTTTTCTTTAACCTCTGGAGTCCCTTCTTACCACAGCTGCCTAAAATTGGTGACATAATTTCCTGTCATTTTGAGGCAGGAATGTTGAAATACTGTAGCATATATCCTAAAATAGAGTTAATACTTTGAACATATAAAAACACCCTCCCCCTCAGTAGGAAAAAATAGAAAATTCATTCCCCAGCTAGATACTGATGTGACCTTGCCCACATCCTGTCCATTGTCATGGTACCAGAAGTTTGCTTCCAGCATCATAAATAAAATTCTCTTTCTGGAGAAAAAGTCTCATGACAATTGTCAAGTTGTTAATTCCTGATAACAGCGACCAGTACTAGTTTAGAATCAGAATGGTTATATGAAAAGTACATTTTGGGTAGATGACTTGTCCCATCCATTCTAATGGCTGATTCTTAGTTTCCATTTATTTTTGATTGTGGGCAGAGTCCCATTCAGATGTTCCTTATCCAGACAGCCATGTTCTCCTGCCAGTATTACTTTAATGATACAGGCTGTTGCAGCCATCTACACATTGAATATATGTGTTTGCAGCATGGAAACCTTCACATACAGTGGGGCAAAAAAGTATTTAGCCAGCCACCAGTTGTGCAAGTTCTCCCACTTA